CTCTCTCTCTCTCTCTCTCTCTCTCTCTCTCTCTCTCTCTCTCTCTTTCTCTCTCTCATACTCGCGCGGGCGTGGCCATTTTCTATTGCGAAAATGGGAATGCATTTACCCGTCTACCCGAGTAGATGCATTCCCGTTTTTGCAATAGATAACGGAAATGCCCACGCTCGGGCGTGACAGACACAGAGAGAGAGAGAGAGAGAGAGAGAGAGAGAGAGAGAGAGAGAGAGAGAGAGAGAGGGGCGGCGGATTTGCCGCAGGGTTGCGGCAAATCTGCCGCCCCCCCGCCCCTCTCTCTCTCTCTCTCTGTCTCTCTCTCTGTCTCTGTCTCTCTCTCTCTCTCTTGTTTCGAAAGTCGAAAACGGGAATGGATCCTCCCGCTTTCGTGGGAAGATGCATTCCCATCTCTCTTTCTCTCTCTCTTCCAACTTCGTTTTGTTTTCGTGTTTTTTTATTATTTGCTTTCGTTCGTTTTTTAATTTTTTGCTTCCATTCGTTTCTCGGCTCTTCCTCTGTGTGTCATTCCTACAAGCATGGAGCCCGACCATTCAGCAACGACCAGGCCTTCCCTTGGCCGACCCCCCTAAGACTGCGGCGCGTATCCGGGAAGGCCCGCGACCGATAGCTAGGCCAGGTACTGGTGGTTTAACAAAGGAGAGAGAAGTGAAAACTCTCCTGTGCATCTTTCAGCCGAGAGACTGTCTTCAGAATTGGGTCTAAAACGACACCTAAAGGATTGTATCTACCGGTCTGAAAATGTGTCCTGAGAAGCAGGTTGCCTATGACGACAGACTTCTCCCCTAAAGCGGGCGAACCGAGGACACGGCCCCCGCTTTTTATCCTGTATCAATGGTCCTTTCAACCATGGCGCCAATATCATTTTCCCTTCGTCAGAAATTGGCAACGAAGTTATACCCGTACGCAGAAACGGGCTGACGAAATTGTCGGCGTACCCACAACCACACTAGATTATGTTCACGAGTATCCGATATCACATCACGTTGGGGAGGGGCGCGGACGGAACGCAGCGGCCGGCGCTAAGCGCTCTGCCCTGGCGTTACCGGGTCGGGTATCAGGCCCACGGCCGGCCGAAGCGCTACCAACGAGATAGCGCCTCGGTATTCCCGAGACTTTCACCGCATCGCGGGCGTAAAGCAGCTATGGAGGCAGTCGCTTCCCTGTGCTGAGTAATCGGGTGGCCGACGCTCTGCGCCCACATGTAAGTAGTCAGGTATATTGTGAAGCCTTCGGGTATCATAGAGGCTAAGTGAAGGAAGTAGTGCAGTCACATGAAGGTGTGTGGTCGTTGTAGACCGCGGCAGAAAGTAAGTATAGAGAGGGTACAAGGAGACAAATGGAGGAACCAGAGGATACAAGAGAAGTGAGACAGAGTGCTCGATCTCCGCCAGTGGGGCCGTCGGAGCAGTTAAATTACTGGGATGATGAAGAGCGCATAAGAACGTTGCTGGGTCTGTGTTTTGATGATGAAGTCTATCCAACGGACTTGGGTCCGGGGGAAATGACTGTCCAAGGAAGGGAAGTGAAATTCAAGCTGAATACCACGCTGGATGAGATAAAGGTGAAGTGGCTGAAGGAACTGACAGTCTCGGTGATATTTAAAAAGAATGCAAGATTTTTGCCGAAGAGGGTGAAGGATGATGTAATACAAGCATTCGAGGACGGATGGGTGCTGGGGAATGATAATTTCCCTACTGAAACCAGACGCGGTAGAATCAAGATTGAAGGACCAAACGCACTCTCGTATGTGGCCAAATCTCGGGAAGTAGCAGCATACATGATTCACGAGGGAGGAGTGAAGATTCCGGTTGGAGCAACGAGGTACAAAGTTCAATTCAAGCCTTGGATGACTAAGGCAGAATTCAAGGAATTAAGGCGACAGGAAGACGATAGGACGTTTTGGGTAATTGCGATTCAAGTACCGCTCGACAATATGCCATTCATCTTCTCTCAAATCCAGCGGGCCATTGGGAGAAGCATACTAGCACATCCTCCAGACGTGGATCCGTCAAGACCATCTCTGGTCAATGTGCGCTTTGACATTGATCCCGAAGCAAGGGGCAACATGAAGGATAAACTGTGGATAAATACATCCAACGAAGACGAACTGGAGGTAAAACTGGCATGCGCAACGACCCCAAAGTATCAGTTATGCAAGCAGTTCTTCCACGTGGCAGAAGAATGTCGAAGGAATGGAGGAGGGCAGACTCCAGGAGCGGGAGTGTCATTCAGCGTGCCACATCAGCAACCAGCCCAATCAGGGACTGGGCAGAGAAGAAGTCGAAGGCCCTCGTATCAAGGCACGCTCGAACCTCAACCATCGCAAGGTCCCTCGATGGGAGGAGGCGGACCTGCGGGCTTTTCTAATGCAACACTTAATCCAATCTTCTCCCCTAGGGGACAGGCGCAGCCTGACGGTTATTTAAACATGAGTTCCTCCATGGCAAACCTGTTTCAAGCGGCAACGAATCTATATGGCATACCCCAGCAAGGAGGGTTTCCCCCCTTCGGAGGGAATTGGCTCAATCAGAACCATCCCCTGGTGATGGGAGGAGGGTTTCCCCCACCACCTGGAGGGGACCTTGGCGGAGTAGGTGCGTATGGCGCATCAACTTTTCGTAGTTACCAACCCGGTGCCTATGCCGGGGGGCCCCAACCTGCTCCAGGCCCCGGGGGCCGGGTAGGACGCCCAGAAGAGACGAGTGGACAATCGCATAATACTCCAGTATCGACACCAACCAGGAGAGCAGACGAAGAGCGAAGAGGAACGAACGGTGGGGAAGATGGGGCAGAGTCGCAAGGAGCATCAACTTCGAGAACAGAGGACGAGTCCAGACAGAGAACGCGTCCATCCGGGAAGCAACGAAAATTAAGTATGTCCTCCGTGACGGAATTACGAGTCGAACAATCCGGAGGTTCCTCCACGCATTCGTCGGATTGCTCAGCTACGCCTGGTATGAAAACTACAAGAGACAGGCGGCTCACTTCTGTCGCAAGGGGTCAGTCTAGCGGTATGGAGCAGGTTCTACTTTCGCTGGTATGTACTTATGCAAGGAATGCATACTGGGCCATTGCTTGGCAAACGCAGACAACTCCGTTTACTCTCTTATCTCAGCCTGTAGTGGACGCACCATCGGTTCAAGCAATAGGACAAGCATTGAAGATGTTGTATCTAGAGTACTTTCCAGTGAGAGTTATTCCGGACTGCCCAATGGCCAGAATCATCACAGACACGGGTGGACACAAGTTAAAACTATTTGTGCCCATTGTGGACAGCAGATTCACGCCGGATAGACTCCTTCATCTGGAGAGGGCGGGTCTCAGGCTAATTCCGCTTGCTTCCTTCGCTGAAGGGAGAAAGTAGGAGCTTGCCAAGATTGCGATCTCCCAAAGCCTAACGGCAGAGTGTTTGGTGGAACTGAAGATTCGCCTGCACAAAGATAAGAGGTTGGACTCACAATTTATCAGAGACGCACTCACCAAGGTTTGGCCATAGAATGCTCAGTCAGGGATGGTTGGTCTGACAGGAGCAGGTTCCTCCCACATCCAAGGGGCGGGGGGGGTAAGGTTGAATGGTTAAGTTATCCGTTGCTTCATGGAACATATGCGGGCTGGGGGACACTTCGGGGAGAAGGAAGAGGCCAAGACTGAAGAGGTGGATTCACGAAAATCGTGTGGCTATTACATGTATTCAAGAAACGAAGCTGTGTGAAGACAAGATTAGAGAATTGGGCAGCTGGTGGGACGGGCCCCAGGTTTGGTCACCAGCCCAAGGAACGAGGGGAGGAGTTGCAATCCTACTCCACAGGGACTTACAGGTAGATTATGCTCACGCCCACCACGTGGACCCTTGTGGCCCAGAGGCTGCTGGGTATGAGCACAATTTCAGGCATCCGGTAGTAGTAGGGTATATGAATAGTTTGGCCTGTCCACCTCAGCCCAGAATTTTGCGTGGGTATGTTCATAATTTGTTCATGCCGGTAGTCGGTTATAAGTGCAATTTTGCGGTACCAACCTGGGTCCACCTCAGTCCTGGGCATGCAAATAATTTCCGCCGGCAGTTGTCTGGGTACAGGTGCAAGCTGGCACTTGGACTGGGTATAGCGGGTGTTCCCATCTTCAAGTGCGGTACAGCTGCAATTTTGCCACCCAAAAAAAAAGGGTCTGCGCGGTGCATGTGCAGGGAGAGGTCCATTTCGGCGGTTGCTTCAGTAAGCTTCCAGTAAGTTCTATTCGTCAAGAGGCAGGTTCGATTGGATGGTTGTTCGGCGGGAGCGGGGAAGAGGGTTTGGGACATAAGACCCTCTTTCTACGGATGCACGAATGAGGTCAGTGAGATCGTGCTACTTGATGATCGGAGAAGATCGGCGATTCTCTTGGCGGCTAATGCTGTGCCTGTGACTCCAGCGCCAGAGTTGACTACGGTTCTCAGTTTGCCTTTTTGTTGAAGGGCCGTGTGTTGGTCCTGTTAGCTGAGCGGGAGAGCACGAGTGCACTGTGGTGTTGTTGAGGCCTCAGGCGCTGTGAGAAGGCGCGTCAGCGTCCGACTACTTGTTTGTAAGTTCCCTTATTACTGTAGGTGTTGATACCTGCCACCATTACCTTCTTCCCCTCCTTCACGAACTTCTTCTTTCTGTAGGCGCTGATTGATTATCGGGTGATCGAGGAGGACGCTAGAGAATGGGTGACGACGTGGATTTCAATGACATGTCCGATGGCGCAATGGGCGAGAACTTCGATGACGATGAGGAAGAGCCCAGCGCAGGCGCGTATGAACCGCACAAGGAGGGCGAGGAGAAGGACATCACATCGGATGGAGGAGTGAAGAAGCTCCTCGTGAAGGCCGGCGAGGGGTACGAAAAGCCAGAGAAGGATGACGAGGTGTCTGTACACTATACTGGGACTCTGCTGGATGGAACGCAGTTCGATTCCAGCAGAGATAGAGGGGAACCGTTTACGTTCAAGCTGGGTCAGGGACAGGTCATAAAGGGATGGGACAAGGGTGTGGCTACCATGAAGAAAGGGGAGAGAGCGATCCTGACCTGCGCACCGGAGTATGCGTACGGCAAGGCTGGATCGCCGCCGTCCATTCCGCCGGACAGCACGCTCAAGTTCGACGTTGAACTTTTGTCTTGGACCAGCGTGAAAGACATCTGCAGGGATGGCGGCGTGCTGAAGAAGGTCGTGAAGGAGGGGAAGAAGTGGGAGAAACCTCGCGAGCTTGATCAGGTCTCCGTGAAGTATGAGGTGAGGTTGACTGATGGCGGCAAAGTCGTGGCCAAGAGCCCGGAGGAAGGCGTGGAGTTTTACGTGAAGGAAGGCCACTTGATCCGAGCTATACCCGCTGCCGTGCCGCATATGCACAAGGGAGAAGTTGCTCTCCTCACAGTCCGCCCTGACTACGGATTTGGGGAGGGCGGTCGTGAGGCGGAGCCGTCGGTTCCCCCGAATGCTTCTCTGACGGTGGACCTGGAGCTAGTTGGTTGGAAGACGGTCGAGAACGTGACCGACGATGGGCAGGTGGTCAAAAAGGTGTTGAAGAAGGGAACAGGGTACGAGAAACCTAACGAGGGAGCGACCGTGAACGTCAAGCTGCTGGGAACCCTGGAAGATGGGAGTGTGTTCGAGTCCCGGGGGGTCGACGAGGGCGATGAACTGTTAACGTTTGTAACGGGCGAAGAACAGGTTATCCCTGGGCTAGATAAGGCGGTGTTGCTCATGAAGAACGAGGAGAAGGCGGTTATCACGGTTGGACCGGAGTACGGCTACGGCGCAACTGAGTATCGCGGCAATAAGGGTGTTGTTCCGCCGAACTCGAAACTGACGTTTGAGGTGGACATGGTTTCGTTCGTGAAGGAGAAAGAGCCTTGGGACATGGATAACGCCGAGAAGGTGGAGACCGCGACCAAGAGGAAGGTGGACGGGAATGCGCTGTTCAAGGCGGGGAAAATTGCCAGGGCGTCGAAGAAGTACGAGAAAGCGGTCAAGTTGATCGATCACGACTCGTCCTTCGACGACGAACAAAAGAAACTGGCGAAAGCATTGAAGATCGCGTGCAATCTGAACAACGCGGCGTGTAAGCTCAAGCTGAAGGACTACAAGGAAACCGTGAAGCTGTGCAGCAAAGTTCTGGAGAGCGACTCGCAGAATGTCAAGGCTCTTTACAGAAGAGCACATGCATACATGGGAACCGACGATCTTGATCTAGCGGAGTACGACTTGAAGAAGGCGACGGACATCGATCCGGAAAATCGCGATGTCAAGTTGGCAGTCAAAGAGTTGAAGAGGAGACAGAGAGTGCAGAACCAGCAGGAGGCTAAACTGTACGGGAACATGTTTGCTCGCCTCAGCAAGATGGAGGAAATGGAGGCGAAAGAGAGCAAAGCTTCTGACAATGACATGAAGGTGGACGCCCCTCCTCCGGCGGTTCCCGTAGCATGAAGTTGGTCAAGGAGTCGATCGAGGTGAGGGTGACGTGGTCTTCTTACAGTAAGTGTTTTTTCCCACGAAGATGGACTTCTCCGCTGCCCCGCGCTGCACCGAGAAGATGGCGTGTCCTCTTCCCCTGGAAGCCGACGTGTCCTCTTCCCCTGGAAGCCGACGTGTCCTTGTCACCGGGAAGACGAGGCGTCCTCTCACCAAGGAAGGTGACGTGTCCTCTTACCCAGGAAGACGAGAGGTATGGATTGTGCTTCTCCACGAGAGAGAGGGAGGGAGGGATGTTGTAGAGTATTTTTTTCTTTTGTCATGTGGTATTACGTGGCATGATCACAAGTTTTTGACACTGCGCAGTAGGTATTCGAGTTTGTCTAGGAGGAGGGAGTGATGGGAATGTGACAGTGCAATTTGGCAGGCAGGAGTTGTTATGAGGGCGTCACTAATTTGTCTCTCTTACGATTTTTTGTTGATATTCTTGTAAGGATCAGATGTGGGATCAGATGTGATGTGGGATCAGATGTGGAAGCTATTGATATTCATCTTTTGAACAGATGTAATGGCCCGTTTTCCGAGGAATCGCCTGGGAATGGTGTGGCCTACTCTACTTGAAAGGCCTTTCGCAGTTCATTTCGATCTTTCAATTCTGCGTTTTTTTGCCCCGTGTTGATTAATATGCCATATTGGAAGGCCTTTTGTAGAATGAGTGGGGTCTTAAAAAAAAAGAAAAAAAGAATGAGTGCGGTCTTCGATGATATGTGCGGAAGATGAGTCCCTTGAACGTGAATGTTGAAGCGCCAGTTCGACGGGCTCCGAGTTGCTGAACCTAGTTCTTGTGTGTGCGCTTGAAGGACTACCGTCTTCACTCGAATAGAACGCCTGGCCACTGTAGCTGGATTTTGCGGCAGCTTTCAGTCCAGATGCCAGCGATCATGACCGGGCGTTCTATTCGAGTGAAGACGGTAGAACTGGTCCTGGACAAGCCGTGTCATTGAGATTGAGTCCTCCGTGCACACCACCTGAAGTCCTTGAAAAGGTGTTGATCCGGCCGTTCGAAAAAGGGGTGGGGCTGGGCCTCGGTGAATCTTCCGTGGGGCTGGATAAAATGTTCATGGTCATTGCGAAGGGTATCTCTTTCTCAGGAGCATAGTGGATTGTCTGGTCTGGACGTTTCTCTCTGGTTGGTCCCTGACAACGGCGCAAACGTGATGATTTTTTTTTTAATATAAAAGGTGCGGGTTTGGGCCTCCTCGCTCCGCTATTCACCAATTGTGCAAAATGAGGATGAATCTTCCGCTAGAACGTGGGAAGATGTACCGTCATGATTTTTTGTCTTTGTGCATGTGGAGAGTAGAGGAGCGAGGCGCTTTGTGTCGTACCAGGGGGTTTATTTTTGCCTAGAACGAGTGTAGGCTCAGTCACATTTTTTTTGACATGTTACTTGCTGCAGCATTTCAGTTGAGTCGACTGTGTCGTTCACGTGGAGAAGGCAAATTGTAAGGTTCTCGATTTCACGTGGTGTTAAGGGGGGTGAGAAGTATCGTTCCTGCGCGTCCACCGCAGTGCATACAACATCCATCTCCTGTGGTTAGGGTTCAGATGGGCAGAACTCATGCTGCACTCTCATTCATTCGCTTATAGAACCAGGAGTCGATGGTAGACATTCTTTGATGAAGGAGGCTGCGCGTGGCAATTGCTATGTGGGTAGAAGATGCACTCGAAGGCAGATGGCAGTGCGTTGTGAGAATCGGACAAGGATGGGAGGAGATACTGTTCTATGTGGCAGTCTGCCCAAAGCAATTGTAATGGGTACGCAGTACCGGATAGATAAGTGTTCGGGATCTCTTTCCTACCCCTCAGTTGGGTGCCCGGTTGGTACCATAACTCTGATATCTGATCTGATTCACACAGAGTGCGCCCAATTGTTGCGGGTTATGCTTGGCAGATGACATAGACGGGCAGATAGTCTGACTGAGAGACCGACAGACCGACCGACAGACAGACAGACAGACAGACAGACGGACTTTTCTGTGTGGTAGTCTGCTAAAAAAGCAACTGTAATGGGTAGATGATGCCGTACTGGACGTATAACAGTGTGTATGATCTCATTCGTTGGCCTGGTTGGTACCATAACTCGGTTTATGTCTAATCAGCACAGATCGGTACCATAACTCGGTTGATGCTCTGCGCAGGTGACATATTAGAATTGATTGGAACGGGATTGATGGGGATGAGTGGCCCACGAAAAGAAAGAGGAAAAAATAAGGAATGGGAGGGGTCCTCTGGAACTCTGTTAGTTGGCTGGCACATCACTACCTGCACATGTGACCTTCTGGAATGTGAAAATGATAACCCTTATCTTGTTTTCATTCACTGGCTGAATGATAATGTGACTAGCTAGTTGTGGGCCCAGTTATCACGGGTTGTTATGTTAGTGCAGGTGTGAGGATGTGAGCCTAGTCCACTGGCTTCAATGCTGTTGATGTTCTTCCCGCACATGATGCAAAAGTGGAACAATGTCTATTTTTAGCACAGGGGCCGTAAGTGAGAGTTTTGCCCATAGTTTTCAGAACCTGACATCGTGGTCTGGAATGATGCTTGTCCCTTCCAGTTGTGGTGCATATTCTCCCGCCGTAGTTTACACAGTGAGGATCTGTATTTTTATTTTATCCTGTGCTATATTCGTGATAAAGGTTTTCATAGCTTCCTGGAGGTTCCGCGTGATAATCATCCCCTGCATGATCATTTTTACAATTAGTTGCAGCTGTGTGTACTCGATGATGGGCGGCAGGAAGCTAAATAGGGTCAACATAGTTGTCTATCCCCCACACAAATATTTAACCAGTAACACCAGTGCTTTTTGTTTGGGTCACTACCCCAACCAAAGTTTCTCTCTCTCTCTCTCTCTCTCTCTCTCTCTCTCTCTCTCTCTCTCTCTCT